TCTGTAACTCTAGTTCCAAGGGAATCTGAGGCCCTCTTCTGGCCTCCGTGGGCTTTACATGACACAGGTACATTTACATACATGAGGGCGAAATACTCATACAGTTAAAGTCAAAAAAAATTTTTTTTAATTCCGAAATGTGAAAATGAGTAATTGATGTTGTATATGAAAGAAAGTGGACATTTCTGGCTGTTGACACACAAAAGCAGCTTCCAGGAGGAATTAAACATTTTCTCTATATTGCATTTCATAATTGTTTAATTTCTTGGGCAGAATCACTGAATCAGGGCTGGGGATTTGGCTCAGTAGTAAAGTGTTTGCCTAGCGTGTGCAAAGCCCTGGGTTCAATCCCCAGCACTGCAAAAGTAACAACTAATAACTGTTGTGGTTTGAATGTGAGATGTCCCACACAGGCTCATATGTTGTGAACAGCTGGTTCCCAGCTGGTGGTGCTGTCTGGGAAGGTCATGGAACCTTCAGGAGGTAGAGCTTTGCTGGTGGAAGTATGTCACTGGGGACAGGTTTCAGGTTTTATAACGTGGCCTCATGTCCTGTTCTCTCTCTCTGCTTCCTGTGTGTAGATGAAAATGTGATCTCTCAGCTTCCTGACTGCCAGGGAGGCCTCATGTTCCTGTTGCCATGCCTCCCCTGCCGTGATAGACTCTATTCATTTTGGAAGGGAACAGAAAAGTAACTAATATATCAGCCAACCAAATAAATAAATAAATAGTAAATAAAATAAAATAGATTATACTGGGTCAAATTAAGAGAAATGAGGTTATTTACCTTTTTTTCTGGTAAAGATAAACATGTACATTTGATTGTAGACTCTGGGGATACAAAGTACATAAAATAGGAAAGTTCATATCAGTACCAAAGACTGAGTGAATCCACGGTGGCTTACAGCTTTTACAGTCATGCTGTTACAATAAAAATTACTTTGACCTTTCAAATGATAATTAATTCTTTACAAAAATTATCAGCACATGGGGACTGGAGCGATGGCTCCACATTTAAGAGCACTGACTGCTCTTGCAGAGACGGGGTTCAGTTCCCACCACTCATATGGTGGTTAACAACCATCCTTAAATTCAGTTCCAGGGGAACTGGACATGCTCTTTTGACCTCTGCAGGCATTGCACAATACAGGAGCACTCACATGCATGCAGGCAATACACTCATACACATAAAAGAATAATAAGTAAAATATCTTTTTAAAAATATCAGCACTTTGATATGCTGGCAGAGGAAAGCATGACACAGAACAGTTCTTACCTCAAGCCTGCAACCAGGCCAGCAGGCACTATTGTCTTGGACCTCTTGAATCTCACACCCATTATGGTAGCCAGGATGAAAGCTGTAACTGAAACCTAGTCATGGCAAATTAGAGTTTCAAATATGCCATTAAGATTTGCTTGTGAAAAAAGTTACTAGTCCAAACCTCTTGGTATAAGAACTATTATGTGGAAGTATTGAATGCTAATTTCTTCAACAAAAAATAAATTTTAAAGATTTATTTTTAAAAAGGTCAAATATTGGGGCTGGAGAGATAGCTCAGTGGTTAAGAACACTGGCCGTTCTTGCACAAGACCTGGGTTCAAATCCATGCACCCACATGGCAGCTAAGAACTGTCCATTAACTCCAGTTCCAGGGGATCCGGCAAACTCTTCTGCTCTCCGCAGACGCTGCACGACAAGGGTGAACTTACCTATGTGCAGGCAATACTCACATACACATAAAAATAATAAATAAAATATTTTTTTAAAAAGAACCTCTGCGGACGCTGCACGACAAGGGTGAACTTACCTATGTGCAGGCAATACTCACATACACATAAAAATAATAAATAAATTTTTTTTTTAAAAAGAACTAATATGTAGAACTTTCCCCCAGAGAGCTCGGTACTTTGGCTTAGACAAAAGGTGTTTACTCCCAGCAAGATAGGAATATTATTGTACTTTCAACCTCAAAAAGCTGTGAAAGTTATTTGCAAACCTTGTCGATCAGTACTACCCAAGAAAGGCAGGCAGGGCCTCTGGAGGTCCAGCTTCTCAGACTCCCAGTGTATGCTTTGGTAGCAGCTGGGGCACTCAAAAAGGACCCAGACCATGAGGCCCACCTTGAGGGTGAAATCTTACTCTGCTTTCCTTAGCACTCTGCCTTGGTTGTGTGGGAAAATGCATTTCCTATATGTGTTTAACATAATCCAAAACAATTGAGAAGGGAACATGATGTTGTCTTAAGAATCTCCATTCCCTCTCCCTTTCATCAGAATGGTTTAATATCATATCCCTTCAAACAACAGAGTAAAGAAATTTATAACAAAATTTTGTGGAAAAAGCAGAAACAATGGTCTTATGACTACTTTCTTATTTTTGTTTAAAAAATTCCATCCCTAAAGGTGGTTTGGATTTACGTAAGGGCAAAAAGATGACTACATATTAAGGTTAAAGGCAAACTGTACAATTTCTTTGTGCTTTTCGTATTTTGCAAATTTTCTGCCAAAGGCTTCCATTGTTTTCATTTTTGTATAAATAAACCAGCATTTATGTATATAAAGTCCCTTGAGATTTTGGCTTTTTATGAATGAGTCTCCCCAAAGCAGGGTAAGCTAGAAGACCTGAGACAAACTGAGTTTCTGAACAGTTGATAAGGACCTGGCTCAGGATCCCACGACACTTACTGAGTGTGAACATCCCAGGAAACCCTGCCTGGGCAACCAGTGGACTGATCAGTTGAGCTTTTAACCTCCCTTTCTCATTTCTTCTTGCACACAACCTGTGAAGCTATCTGTTTTCATTCCTTGTCTGTTGTGATAAAACACCATGACCAAGGCTACTTTCAGAAGGAAGAGTTTATTGGGCTTACTGGTCTGGAAGGATAAGTGTCCACCATGACTGGGGAGGCATGGCAGGAGGAAGCTGGAGAAGAAAGCTGAGTGTGCACATCTTCAAAGTCATGCAGGAAGCACAGAGAGAATCTGGAAGTGGGTCAAGGCTATGAACTCTCACAGCCCACCCCCAGTGACTCGCTTCCTCCAGAACGGCCACACCACCTAAGGATTCTATAGCCCTCTCCAACCAACTGAACAAGTGTTCAAATACTTGAGCCTAGGAGGACACTGCTCATTCAAACTACCACAGTACCCACATCTACAGATATAGAATTTTTCATGTGGGAGCTACAATTCAAAGTGGCCTAAGAAATCAGAAGACATGAGAAGTTGAATGGAAAAAAGAAATTTCTATTTTCACTAATCTCTAATTGAATTTATCATTTCTTTCCATTGGGAAAATAGGCAGCAAACCATAGCAATATTAGTGCCTGTATCTATAAACACCAAGGATCAGTTCATTATTAGGATTTATTTTTAGCACTATTTTGAATTATGCTATTAGACATAACCCAAAAATTATAGACCAGTATATTCATAAAACTAGCTACCTTTGAGTGCTCATTATTTTATTTTGTGCTTTCCTCCAGAATGACAAAGGGGCTGAAACTACACTGTAAGCTGTGAATCTCTGCGGTGGCTCATGACTAGGTAGCTCTATTCAGTTGATAGAAGAAAAAGGCTTTGCTGCACCCTCATCCTGGACTCCACCCTGACCTTTCACTGAAGCAGGTGACAGCTGATGTCTCAGTTTAGATGACGAGGTCCTTCTGCCTAAGAACATCCTGTTCCCACATGTCTGACACTATGGCATTCCAATGTCATATAAAGAGATGTTATTTTAGGTTGGGTTGAAATGTAATTGAATAGGCGTATGTTGAGGCTGTTTCTATCTTTTGATAGTTAAGTAGCAGAAATCTCAGAGCATCTACTCTGAACCATAGCATTAACCCTACTGCTCGGCCTTAGGGTGTATCTTGGTGAATCCCTAAGTGCTGGAGTGCACAAAGCACTGTGTTCAAATCCCAGCACTGACCAAACAAAAACCCTTCAGTTTCAGTGCTAAAGTACAAATGGCAAACGTTTACCTAGGCCATATAATGGGAATTATAAAGCTTTCCGAGAGGGTTTTAGTTTTATTCTGAATAGAGAAAGTGTTCTGGCAGTCAGGAGAGTGAGAAGGCTGGGATGACGACTGCACAGCAGGGGGTCGGAAGGAGAGCTGGGAGAACTCAGGGGCAAACCAGGACACCACTGCTTCCATGTCCCTGTGTCTTACAGCCAATTGTCCTGTGACTCTTCCCTTGTTTGGTTAACACCTTAGGACCAATGTAGATCTCTCATGACAAGACACAGTCATGTTACTTCCATGAAATTCTTTTATGTGCAGAGAATAGGTTCAGCAAACAAATTTCACAGGATTTAATGTATATGTTAAGTTCTTTTGTGTTCTGGGGAATTCTATTATTCCCAACCTCACAGAATCCAAGAACTTTCTTCAAATCCGTGGACAGCCGTTGTGTAAGGAAAAGGGTCTGCCATAGACATTGTATTTAGTCTAGAAGGTAAAATTGGAGTGACAGGAGAATTTACCGGGAGGCACAGTTTCAAGTTAGTAGGTGGTTCCCCCGCCCCTCCCCCGCCCCGCACAGATTACCAAGGACAAGCAAGATCGAAAGTGCTTTCCAACTCTGGAGTTCTAATACCATTCCTTCCAGATATCTAAGCCTGGCAATCTGATCTGACAGTGTTAAAGCAGGAGCTTGATATCACAACCACATCTATATGACCCCATAGTGTGATGGACGGTTGCTCAGGTTTTGAGACTGTATGAAGTTGGAATCTGACTTTGGAGGTCTTATTTCATCTTCCAGAACGTTGTTAGCTGCTCCACTGAAAAGGGGGACAGTCTGTAGACAGCATATGAAGTGTTTGGCGTCATTAGAGGTTACATAGGTGTTCTTTGAAGGACAAACTTTTTCTCTGCTAAAAATCTTTCCAGCTTCGGGGATCCTGGCTAAACCCTATCAAAGCACTGCAGGTGTCAGTCAGCCCTGCAGGAGGCAGCAGGCCTCGGTCAGAACTCAGGGACCAAGCACAGGCGGGGCAGAGGAGCGAGTGCTCAGGATCTTGGTTCCCACTGCAGCAGAGTTGCACCGGGGTTCCTAGGTAGGGCAGGACGTAGGGAAGAAGCAGAAAGAGGCACATGCGCGCTGCAGCAGCTGGGAAGAGGAGCCCGTATTGTGTGCAGGAAGGTGGGCAGTGGAGCAGGAGTGCGCCAGCGGTGACACAGCTTCCCGAGTGTGGTACTGCGCTTGCCTGCCTCTGATTTCCCTCTTCTCCAGCTGTAGGAAGGGCTTGGGGCTGCAGGTGAGCTGTGCATCCTGTAAAGGAAACTTTCCTGCCCTCTATTTTCTGGCAAGATAAAAGGATCTTTGCTAAGCGTCAGCCCTCCTTACTGATAGGTAAAAGTTTGGGGTGGAGAGCGATTGAATGGAGGATGAGGCACCGAGGCCCAGATAGAACTCTCAGCAGCATACAGCTTTATTTCACATGGGACACGTTTCCCTCGGGGAAGGGAAAGATGTCAGCTCACGGGTTGTGAGCTGGGACTTATATATGGGGGCTTCAGGGTGCAGAAGGGGTGGTAGTTTTGGGGAAAAAATCAACCAAGGGGAAGCAGGAAAAGCAGGGCTTGTAAACCTGGCTCTGTTCAGTCTGCCAGGCAGGATCTGGGTCTGGAAGTGTTTACTTTTTTCCTCTTAAGGTAAGGGAAAAGCTGCTGTGTTGAACAGCTTCTAAAATCTCTGGTTAACAGGTAGAATCTGCTTATCTTGTCTTTGGAGATCAGAGGAAAGGCAGGCTGCTTCTCAGCAGAGTTTGTTTCCCTTGACTTCAAAGGCCAAGGTGCTTATCAGCTCAGTTCCTTTTTTCAGGCTTCAAAAGTCCATAGGTCCCTGTTGGGGAGGGGAGAAACTGCTGCTGTTTGGAACCCTAATATTCTAGACTTTTGTGTTATAGGATGGGGGGGCCGTTGTCATCTTTCTACTTCCTGCTGGACAGGGTTGACGTGGGAGGTACGCTGGTTTAGGGGTCCACTAGGCAGCAGGGGTTGTCTTTCCGTGCATCTCAACAGGGTCCTCGATGGTTGACAGGCGGTCATGTACATGTGAAAGGAAGGAAAGTTTCCTTATGGTCTGAGCAACTGGATCTGGCCGTGTAGAAGCAGCTGAAGAGACGACTGAATTTTCTCTGAATTTTCTAAGTGAACACAGAAGCTTTTTGCCAGGGTTAAAATAGATTGATTTTTGCCTCCTTTAACACTTACTTCTCTGTGGAGATGAAGGAGCTGTTGGGTTCCTGGCAATATAGCTGGGGGTGATCAGACAGCCCATGGGAATTGTAGAGCAGTTACTGAATATTTTTAGTTCTTTTGCCCCACCATGAGCTCATTCATTCCCTCATTCATCCATTCAGTATTTACTTAGTACCTACCTCCTGCAGGGCAGTGTGGTTGGTACTAACTATGAGCAGGCCAGAAATGAATGGAACATGGGCTTGCCTTTATCAAGCCCAGCTGTGAATGGTCTATCTTACCAGCCTCAGAATCTATAAGCAATGGTGTCTTCTTGGCTGCCTTGGCACCTCAGACAGTATTCCATGAGTCCTGTCCTTCTTTCCCCGCCATATACCTGCTGCTGCCCAGAGCTGACTCAGGAGAAGCGTGAAGACTCGGCCACCCCTACCTCTCCTGGAGGTCCAAGTCAGAGACCTAGGAGAGAGTCATCCTTACAACTTCCCTGCCCATCTCTCCCTACCTCCATACTGTTAGTTCTAACTCCTGACTCTATCAAATTCATCTGCCTCCATGTTTATTGCTATTTCTCTAGAGTGGGATCCCATCATCGACTAAGTTCTTGCTTAGTTTACTACAGCCATCTCCGGATTTATCTCCCTGCTTTACTGAATTCATCTTCCTCTGCTGCCGCCAGGAAACACTTGGGATCTAAACCTGATTGTGAGGGCTGCTTCTTTGACCCCCCACTGACTTTAGGGCAAGAACCACAGACTGGTTTTGCAGGGCTGGTGTGCATCTGCAGCCTTGTGTCTCTCACTAGGTGCTCCTTTCTCAGGCCCTCGGTATTTTATTTTGAGAACACGCCTTGCTTTCTGACCCCTCAAGGCCTTTGCATGTTTGTTCTTATGCCTGGAAAACTTGTTTACTATGCTTTCTTTTGACATTTTATTTGTTGATGTGTATAAGTGTATTGCCTGCATGTATGTAAGTGCACTCATGTCATTCAATGCCTATGAAGGTCAGAAGAGGGTATCAGATACCCTGGAACCGGAGTTATGGACTGTTGTTAGCCTCCTTGTGAGTGCTGGGATTGAACTCGGGTCCTCTGCAAGAACAGCCAGTGCTCTTTCTTAACTGCTGAGTACATCTCTCCAGCCCTTGTTCACTATGTTTATTCCTGTTTTCCCCCAAGATCCCAGGTGGGGCCCTGCATCCCCTGAACATCCCTGCTTAGGCTCTGAAGCTCATTAGATACCTGTCCTCTGAGTTTTGGAAGCATAGACGAGCCTGTGTTTGTGGCCTTTCCCTTGAATTTGACTGCCTTGAACAAAGAAGTTTAAATATCAGTTGTGACACGATATGATTCTTTGAATACCTGAATAACAAATTCACTCTCTACCTCATTGTACTGAATAATGACCTTAACAATGGATAGAACAACGAAAGACTATTATTACTGCAAAAGCTAACGTACCTTTATTTTTATTTATTTTTGTTTTATTTGACAAGGTCTTCGTCACCCCAGTTCACCTGGAACTCACTATATAGACCAGGCTGGCCTTGATCTCAAAGAGATCTGCCTGTCTCTATGTCCTGAGGACTGGGATTAAAGGCAAGCACCACCACACCAAAAATATGCCTTTATTTTTAATTGGCACATTTTAATTATGTATATTTTTAGAATAGAATGTGGCATTTCAATACAGCATCAGTATTTATTCAGATCAAAGTAATTGACATAGCTATCACCTCTGACATTTATCATTTCTTTATGCTAGGAGCATCCAAAATCCTGTATACTAGCTATTTTGAAATACATCATGTTGCCAACCACAGTTATCCCGCTGTGCTGTGGAATGCTAGAAATTGTTCATCCTAGGCAGTGCACCACTGTTCCTTTTAACCATCCTCACCCTCCCCACACAACTTAGAGAGTTTGGTAACTTTTATGCAATCAGCTTGTTAGAGTCCATATATAAGTGAGAACATGTGGTATTTGTCTTTCTGTGCCTAGAAGAGCTGATATTTATTGAATGCCCAGTATGTGTCAGGCACTCTTCTAGTATTTTAATTCATTTAATTTTCACAGTAGCCCTGTGAGCTAGATACTTTTATTTTCCTTTTGTAAAGGTGGAGAAACTGAGTTACAGAGCAATTAAGGAATGTACCTAATTTTGCACAGCTAGAAAGCTTGAAGCCAATATACATGGTACCACAGTAATAAATATTATTATTCCTGTGAGATGCCCCTGGGGCAGAAGAGGGTGAGTCACCAGATGGAAGGTGATGTCCAGTGGTCACAATTTCAAGGTGTGAGCCAAGTAGAAGAATCCACAGTGGAGACCTCTGAACAGCATCAATTTCATTTGCTTATTCACTTTGTTCCTCCAAGTAATCCAGTTCTGGATGGTATTGCATAGTGTTGAGGAGTGACACATGCCTGAAACTGATATCTTGGTTGTGCTGTGTAAAGTTAGGGCATCACTTGCCTTCTCTGTGCCTCAGTTTCCTCATCTGGAAAATACTGATTGCAATAGCATTTCCTTCATGAAGTTTGGGTCGTGATTGGGATGATATGAGATGGAAGAGGGCCTGTCACGTGGTAGTTACCCAAAAGCATGATCTTCTTTGTTACCCTTGTTACTGTCTTTATCTGTCATTCACTCAGCAGATGGTTTTGAACACAGCTCCTTCCTTTATGTTATGCCCCTTGGAGTCACTTTGCTGGCACAGATGAGGTCTCCTGGGTTAGTTCTTTTCCAGATGTGGGGTCTTTGTGTGTTGCTTCCTATTCTGTGACCTCTCAATAAGGATTTTTGTTGTATTTTGTTTTGTTTTATTTGAGGGAGGGTTTCACTCTGTAGCTTTGGCTCGCCAAGATTGGCCCTTGAATTCCTGGAAATCCACCTGCCTCAAGCTCTCAGTGCCGAGAGTACAAACATGAACTACCACGCCTGGTTTATAGTAAGTTCTAAGTGACTCCAAGATAAGCTTAACACCTGTTCTGTTCTGAGCCAGTCTGGTTTACCTAAAGGAGAAGCAGTGAGAAAACTGAAAGAAGGCACAAGATGGCCAAGGGTGTAGGTCGGTGGTAGTATGCTTGCCTAGAATGTACAAGACCCTGGGCTCACTCTCCAGTAGCACCCCCCACCCAAAGGAACAGGAAACTTCATACACCATTCCCATCCCTCATATTTACAAACAACTTTTTCCCCATGGAAGAAAATAGATGTTTTAAAAAAGTAAGATATTAAAGTACACCAGTAATTGTAGAATTTAACAATCCAAGGAACTATACACATCTCATCTATTTCCCCCACTTAGGGGGACCTGGGAAGAGGGAGGGACAAAACCTTTACATTAGCAGCCAGCTCAAGGCTAGTAGTTTATTGCCAACCTGTAACCATCTTGCTTCCTGCTGGATCTTGGATAACCCAGGGCAGGGCTTCATTGGAATATCTCACACTGGATATGCTTCAAGTGATCTGTGGTGTACTACAGGATGCCATGGCATGCAGTTAGTTTTGGGCCAGGGTTCTATCATCATGTTTAATGATTTACCACTGATTAAGAATGTCTGTCTCTGCCACAGCGAAGTTGGTACAAAGCAGATAGTCAAAGTGAATCCTCATTTCAAGTACCAAGCAAAATCCATGTAACACTTCTTTTGCTGTGCATTGTGGGGAGGATGGAAAGATAAATATTCACACAAATATGAAGGCTTTGAAAGATGGAGTTGCAAAAGCAAAGGAATGTAGAGGAGGCAGAACCACTCGCTGCATCTGATGACACATTCCAGAGGGTTGATGGAGAAGTATTTGAGGGCAGAGGCTGGGGCCAAGGTGTAGAGGATAGTGGGTACAAGTGTTGACTTTTTTGTGGGTTGAGGAAAAGAAGGTGTTGCAGGCGTTAAAGTGTAAAGGAAAGTTTGGGCCTTGTCTGGAGTTTACCTGGCAGGCAGGTTTTTATTGTTTGTGGATCACAATGTCTATACACCAAATCCCAGGAGACACAGCAAATCCTAGGCATAGTGTCAGTGGTTTCTAGTGGTGATTCTACCAATTTACACTCC